AAAAAAAATTAAAAAAAAAAAAAAAGGAACATAGAATGGACTGAAATAAAACAAAAATGTAGGGGGCCGGGGAGATGGCTCAGTGGAATAAGTGCTCGCCTGTCAAGCACAGGGACCTGAGTTCAATCCCCAGTTCTCGGGAAAAAAAAAAAGTATAAAAGCAAAATCAGAGAATCTGTTTAGGAAAGAAAATAAATATTGCAAAATAAGAGCATTTTATCTTAAATATCATCCATTATTGTTCTAATACATAGCTTGAAATCTGAGCATGTGTGTTTTGGGTTGGGGGTTAAGAAGAATGGTTAAGATTTATTTTATAACTACCTAATTTTTTTTTTTAGCAGTTGAGGATTTAAACATCAATGACGTGAATACATTTCTGGACAAATATACACAACATTAAATATAGATGCATATACACTGTTGCAAATGTGAAGATTCTGAAGAGAGTTATAAGGTTTAAAGCAGTCAGCTTCATTTTGGATTTGCATAAATGACTCATGTTGCTTGAGGAGTGTTCCACGTTCCGCAGGCAAAGGCTTGGACAGGCCACCTCATCCTCAGTGCACGTGGTGCTGTCTGGGAGTCTCAGTTTGATGCCTATGTGAACCAAGAGGTGGCTGTGACCTTTGGTTTTATTTCTTTTACTTTTTTTTTTATAACTACCTAATTTTTAAGTTACGTAAATAAGATCCTGACTGATGAACAGTGAGAAAAAGAGCAGACCAAGGTACTGGGGCACTGCGCTGAGCCCAGTTAGGCCGCCTATTTTCCTCTTTCTTGAATGTTGGTGCCGCATTGTGTGGGACTGAGCCTGGGGACCAAGTCTTCTGACATGGCTAAGGGGACGGTGGAGCTACTCATTCTCAGACCATGTGGAGAGAGATAGGAATGATTTATTTTCCTAATTTGACACTTTACTTCTGCAGTAGACATTACTTCTCGTGATGAGAATGTCTACAATATTACTTTTAGATCATAAAATGTCACAAAGGAAACTTCTCAAAATGTATAAGTTATTTTTAGACTTACTAGATTTTAATAAAATTTAAGAAGGAATGAAAAAATATGCATAAGGAATACTAATTTTTTATTTTGAATACATCATAAATTATCTGTAGACTGTATATTTCAAGTCTCTTCCAGTTATGTGATGTTAAATCGTAACAGAAGCCCTAGAGGCCAATAGGAATTCCTCAACGCACAGCTACGGGCTCTGCACCTGCCCTGGGGTCCTGGGCCGTGCTCGGTGGATCCCCAGCGCCCCCTGCTGATCCTCAGCGTCCCTGCAAGGAGGTTTTAGTCTGGGCTCTCAAGCACATTCCCTCACTGTGTCTTTCGCGCAGTAATACAGCGCGGTGTCCTCGGTTCTCACGTTATTCACTTGCAGATACAGCGTGTTCTTGCTGTTGTCTCTGGAGATGGTGAACCGGCCCTTCACGGAGGCTGCGTAGTTTATATCATTACTACTACCACTGATGTATGCGATCCACTCCAGCCCCTTTCCTGGAGTCTGGCGGATCCAGTGCATGTAGTAGTTACTAAAGGTGAAACCAGAGGCTGCACAAGAGAGTCTCAGGGATCCGCCAGGCCGCACCAAGCCCCCGCCAGACTCCACCAGCTGCACCTCAGCCTGCACACCTGCAAACACAGAGACATTTCTCAGGAAACTGTCACACTTATGCAGCATTTATCTGACTCATGTCCACTCCTACATTAAATAGCTCTCATTTTTCATGCATTACCTTGTACAACAGCAAGGAGGAAAACCCAACTCTTTGTGAATTCCATGGTGAGCTCTCTGTATTGAATCCTGATCACCGAATAAGAACCCGTGGCTTTCCAGGGCTGGGCTCCTCCCCAGGGCTGCAGGATGTAGGCTGGCCTGATTTTTATCAGCAGAAGTAGCCCCTATTTGCATGTCCTCCACCTATATAGAGAGCTGTTTTATAAAACCTTCAGATCCAGAAGGGCACAAACACATGAGCATGTTTTCAGATGTGTTTTGTAATATTTTTAATATGATAGAAAATACAGTTTCTTCTTATGTGTGATGAAGTGATAACCATTTAACCTCATCTGTTTTCCTTCTTTCTATATCTGTATACAATTAACGGATTGGATCATTTCATGTATTTACAGATGTTAACATCAAGCAGGAAGTATAATAAAGCTATAAGTTTTGAGGTCATACTTTTTTAAAAATCATCCTTTGTATTCAGTCTTACAGTCTGTTCCACAGTACTCATCTGCTGTCTGAATAATGCCAAGACAGAGGGGGTAACACATCATAATGTTTGACAGCCATCTTATTCTAAAGAAATAACATGGCAGGATTTCTCTGAACCCCAATATTTTCATAAATATCCAACCATATGTTTTCAATTGCATAATCAAGAGTCTGAGAGGTCCTTTCTTATCTATCTCTGTATTGTTTTTTTATGAATTTAGGACAGGGTGTACAGGATCTCACTATGCAGACTGGGCTTGTAGTGATTCTCCTGTTTTCAACCTCCAAGTGCTGGGATTACAGGCACACACCACCATGCCCAATCTCAATCGCCATCTCAGCACACCCCAGGGTTGGAGTCTGCACCGCAGGCCTGGGGATTGAACCCCCAGCCCCTGCATCTTCCTAAGCAGGCACTTTAATCCATTGAGCAATCTGGTTGGCCCCCTTTTTCATGTATATTGTTCTTTTCATACTAAATTACCTTTTATGTATGTATTATACTATTAAATTAACTTTCCTAAAGAATACCTGAGATACATTTTGACATGTATATACAACTTTTAAATATTGACATAAACATCCCCAACAGTAATGACATGTAGCACATCAGTACTCATAAATTCTGCTTTACTTTTTCATAAAACCTCTTTTGTATATCTTCTCCTGTCCTCAACTTTCCTCAAATGTAACATTTATTAATTCTTGTGACAATTCTTCCTTATGGTGAAAAAGTTAGCATATTAATTTTTTATGACAATGACAAACACGCTATGAGGATATTCCAAAGCATTTAAGTTCTTCAGATTCAAACTTTTATTTCCTGTATCTGCTAGTTTTCATTGCCCTCACACTGAAATTTTTGTAAATGAAATAAAGTTAAATGTCTATATATAAGGAATCACAGAGAAAATTATCATATTCTATGAAACGTCTCCAAGAGGTGGTAATGTTCATCTGGCCTCAGAATTATGTGCCTGTGTGTCTGTCACCAAAAATCTACAACCATGACCTCAGGTGTCACTCTCCTCAGCTATAGGGAGAGCTGGATATTTGACACCTCCTAAAATGGAACTGTGCTTCAGGAGGGAAAATGACTTTTTTTTCTACTTGGAATTGAACTCAGGACCTTGCACTTGCCAGGCAGGCACTGATGTTGCTGAGCTATATCACTAGCCTTTGGAGGAAGAAAGCTATACTCTTGAATTCCTGGAAAATTTTGTTCTCATCCTACTGTCTTCTGTATGAGAAAATTGAAGATACTGAGATCCTGAGGAAGTGATGCACACATGAGTCAATCTAGATAGTCTAAATTATTCACTTACGCCACACTCTCTCTCCCTTGTTAGCGTGTTTCCTCAGAGACAGGAGCAGCACAAAATGTTCATATGAAACTTCATCTTTGAGTTCTATGAAATCATCATCATGATGCATGGTAGAGGCCTTCCCCACACTCTGAACCTGGCACCTGGGCCAGCAGAACATGCATCTTCAGGCAAAGAAAGCATAAACTTTGCTGTGGATTACTAGGCATAATGGTCATCGCCACTTTCCTCAGTTCTGCTACTTAATTCCTGGGCTCATGAATTGCTTCTCTGTGAGGTAAATGTCCCTGTAGTGCACCCTGATTCTAAGCACACAGGACCTTCTGAAGAATTTAGAACAAGCCCTGCAAAGTATTTTAGTCTAACCTTTGCTGTAACCGCATCTTCAAATGGACATTCTGGTGCTCCATTTCTTGAGCAGCTATATCCTGCGCTTGACTGCATCCTCTATGTACCTCTAATACATTGTTCTTCATGTCACTTAGAATAGATTCAATAGTCTGTCATGCGCCTTCATGATAGTACCACTATCTTCTAAAGTATATATGAATTTTTTCTCCTTGTGTACTTGGCCCAAAATTGCTCTGAGTTCTTTTTCTCCCCTATCTCTCTGTCTTTTTTGCCCACCTTTCATCAATCTGAAAATGTTCAACCATTCAAAAAAGCAATAGCTTGCATAAATAGTGAGGTGCTCTGTGCCATTTAGAACACTATAATGAATTCTTAGCTGTCTGTAAACCTCATGTAATACTCCCAAGATGATCACGCTGAGGAGGGGAAATAAAACTTTCATCATTTGTTGCACCTCAAAGCATTTGGAGATGAGTGGTGCAGCAGAGCTTGCCCTCCCAGAAGGGACCCACGAACTGAGCTTCAATACCACATGCACATTGGTAGCACAAGGCCTGTTGAACCAGGCAACAAAAGCCTACAGCCAACTGAACATCTTTGTTGGCAATCATTTTCAGAAGTCCCTGACAGAGTGGAGGGATATACATGGTCAGCTGGTCATCACTCATATTCACATGTCCTACATTCTGTAGCTTCAGGATCATGCACAGGAGGGGTTTTTTCTATAATTTTATTGAGAAACAAATAGCAATGAGACAGTTTCAAACTAAATTGGTTGGACAATTTTAATAATTAACACATTGCATACATTCTTCCTAGTGGTTAATTGCTGTACAAGATGCGGACTTGATATCCTATTTACAAACACCATTAGAACAAATCCCTCTATTCATTAAGAGAATGTAACTATCTATCTTAACCACTTTGAATACACAGATACAAAATGGACATTCATCTGTATCCCCTTTTTTTGTTAAGTTCTGTTATTTGAATATTATAGGTGTGTAAACTCAGCAAAATATTCCAAAATAGTCCAGTAGTCCATAATAGCATTGGGTCTTCTGTTTAACTGGCAATGCCAGAAATTATTGACCTGAGTCCCCCACAGCTCAACATAACAGCATGACTTTACTTCCTATATTTCGTCTTCATACTTTTCTACTGGATGGTTAAGACCAAGGTAAAGCAGGACCTGTGCAACAAGAGTTGTAGCTTTTGGGTCCGATAAGGTCACTGAAATCCCCTCAGGATTTATCCTGAGATCCACACAGGAGGTTTTGAAGAGTCAGTATCAAATAATAAAACTCAAGGCAAAAGAGGTAGGATTGCTAGCATTAACTGCAAATATAAGTATTACCATTAATAAGGACAAAACTGTCTCAGAGTCCACAAAGTTGAAATTAACCAACATAACACAGAATAAACAGAGTTTAAGCTTTCTGAGGAACAACTGCTAGGTTTATAATTCCACAAAGCTTTCCTTGCAGTGTACCTAAACTAGGGAGATGAATGTCAAAAAATATCTGCTGGTTTATGCTTCCAAATTATTGAGTATCTCATGCCTGTGTTAAACCAAGCTGTACAGCTTTGCCTATAAGACCCCTGCCAAAAGCAATAGAGAGGCTTCAGAAATTTTCAACTTAGCATCCAGGAAATGTAGCTGAAATCAAGCTGACCATTCTGGAGCTGAAGATTTCTCAAAGGAAAGTGTTCAAAGCATATCTAATATTCATGAACTCCAATTCTCTTAAACATGGACACTTTATAGTTAAGACTTTTAGGCAATGATGGGGTGGCTGAAAGACATGGTAGAACACTGCCCAAAGAAGAGTAATTGTTTTCACATGATGATTGTGAGGATGTTGATGATGATTTGGTTTTCTGAGACAAGGTCTTGCTATGAAGGTCAGCCTGTCCTTGAGCTCACTATATACCTCAGACTGGCCTCCAACTTCAGGCAAAATCCATGTCTTTGCTTCCTGAGTGCTGGCATCACAGGTGTGTGGTTCTCTATGAATTGAATAATTCCCACTGGATTATTAAATATTCAACCAAGGCTATACTTTCAATTGGAGAGTGTCTATTTGCACATGATCACAGAACCTTGTTTTATACTCCTAAAAGGCTCTGCTCTTAATTACCTACAGAGGCTGGCTAGCGAAACCAAACAACAACCTTACCTGCCACTGACACTAAATACCATTGAACTTGCTGGATGATATGGTTTCAGTGACAGTGAAGTCTACAAAGCAGCCTGGACCCATTGCAGAGCCTGCTGTCCTTCTAGCCCTCACTCAAAACAGCAGCTTTCTGATGTGCTCTCTTGTCTTTCCATGTTGGATCAAAATCTGGATGCAACTTCTTTGGTCATCCTTGACCTCTTACTTAAATCATGGATCTACTGTCTATTTCAAATTGATATACCGAGTCAGTGACAGAGAAGAGAGAAACACAATGAAACTCAAGAGAAGTTTTAGAAATGAAAAGGCTCTTCAGAAAAATGGAATTCAGAAGGGCCAATAGTTTGGATCTGCATACATCTCAGGTGATGGCGTTGTTCTGAAAGGTGCTCTCAAACTGGGCTGGGAACTACAGATACACACCTGGGACACTACTAGAAAAGGAGTGTTCATTCCTGTAAGCAGGTCACAGCAGTGATGGGGATGGTCCAGGTGAGGTGCACAGCTGAGTGAGGAGATGGAGGCGATTTAGCTTCCCAGGATGACAGTGACCATGAGGCCCACGGCCACAACTGAGGGATATATGTGGCATCCATGTTTGAAGACATCACCTCAGCTCTGCCATGTTTCCAGAGTGGATGTTTTAAATAATTTCCTTGTATTCACAGTACACTTTGCTTTACAGAACACCATAATAACCCAAATAATATAATTAGGAATGGAGTTATATATGACGACTACTTTCTAAAAATTCAGTAAGAATATATGACCAAGGAATACAGAATATACTAACAAAAAATAAAAATGTATATAAGAAATATTTAGGAATCTTTTAGGAAAAAATACATATAATGAAAGAAGACCATGCTATATCAAATATTAACTTCTGTTTTACTGATACATGCCTTGAAATTTGAGCATATGTGTTTAAGGTCATGTGGAGCTAAAGAAGAATGGGAAGATTTATTTTATAAATTCCTAGTTTTAAGTCATATAAGTAAAATTCCAGCCAATTATAAAGGACAAACAGAGAAAGCCCAGTCCCTAATGCTGCTCTAGGCCAGGTCAGGTTCCCACTATTTCTCCTCCCTGAGCACAATTTCTCCACATGGTGCTGGACTGATCCTGAGGAGCAGGTCTCCCAAGATGGCCACGGGGAGGACAGAGCTGTGCATTCTCGGATCTTGTGGGGAGCAATGCGAATAATTTAATTTCATAATCTGAATCATTTAATCCTACAGTAGGCAATCACTCTTCATAAAATAAAAATTTCATTTTTGGACAATGATGATATGACATTGAAAGGATATTTACTATTAAAAATGTGCAAGTTTAATTCAGGTTCATTGGCAATAAATAATTGTTTCTTTGAAAAATGAAATATGCAAGAGGAAAATTGTATTACTATCTTGAATACTTTACAAATCATCTGTAGACTATGTATTTCAGGTTTTTTATGGTTATGTGATGTGAAGGCACAGAGGAAATCCTAGAGGCCAACAGGAAGTGCTTAGTCCACAGCTTCCTGCTCTGCACCTGCTCTGGGGCCATTGGCTGTGCTCAGTGGATCCCCGTTGCCCCCTGCTGATCCTCAGTGTCCTTGCAAGGAGGTTTGTGTCTGGGCTCACATGGACATTCCCTCACTGTGGCTGGCACAGAAATACAGGGCCGTGTCCTCGGTTCTCACGTTGTTCATTTGCAGATAGAGCGTGTTCTTGCTGTTGTCTCTGGAGATGGTGAATCGGCCCTTCATAGAGTCTAGATAGTATATATCACTACTATCACCACTGATGTATGAGACCAACTCCAGCCCCTTCCCTGAAGGCTGCCGGATCCAATTCATGTAGGAGCTACTGAAGGTGAAACCAGAGGCTGCACAGGAGAGTCTCACGGACCCGCCAGGCTGCACCAAGCCCCCGCCAGACTCTACCAGCTGCACCTCAGATTGGATACCTGCAAAGACAGAGACACTCTGCTTAAGAAATTATTATGCATATCTACTATTTATCCAACTTATGGCCACTCCTATACTCCATAACTCTTACTCTTCATGAGTTACCTTGTAAAACAGCAAGAAGGAAAACCCAGCTTTTGTTAAATACCATGGTGATCTACCTGTATTCAGTCCTGGTCACTGAATAAGAGCCCCTGGGCTTCCAGATCTAGTATTTATCGGCAGAAAGATGCCCTATTTGCATACCCTCCATCTCTATAGACAGTGTATTGTAGAAGCTTCATATACAGAAAGGCCCAAAACCCATGGCCATGTTTTCAGATGTGTTTTCTAATATTCTTAGTATAGTAGAAAATAGTTTCTTCTTGTGGGTGGATTAATTAAGAAATACTTAACCTCATCTGTTTTCATTGTTTCTATATCTGTATGTAATTAATGGACTGGATCATTTTATATGTTTTGCAGATGTGAACATAGAGCAAGAAGCAAAATAGACCTATGAGATGTGAGCTATATGTTTTATGAAATTGTCCTTTGTATTCTGTCCTATAATCCTTCCCACAGTACTCAGCTGCTGTCTGAGCAATGTCAGGACAAAGCGGTCATGCTTCATGACATTTCGCAGACATCTTCTTCTAATGAGAGAACATGACAGAATTTTTCTGCACCTCTATATTTTCATAAATAGATAACCATTATTTTTTGAAGTACATATTCAAGATTTGGGGCCTGGGGAGCTAGCTCAATAAAATAAGCACTTGCATGGCAAGTGCAAGGGCCTGAGTTCAATCCTGGTTCCACCAAAATAATAATAATAATAATAATCTGACAAACATTTTTGTAGCTCTTTCACTTTATTACTAATTTAATTTTCAATAGTGATACTACTGGTGGAAACATGATTTCTCAGACAGCTACTATGTGGATCTGTGTACCAGAAGACCCTTCCAATTAATAAACTCTTTACATGAATCCAAAAGAAACTGGTTTTGATGACCTTAGGATGCTCAGTGCATTCATTTGCATATACATGTATATAACTGGTTTTGAAGCTCTGTGGAAGGGTGAGTACATACAATTGCTGAACCTCATCTGAGGAAATGAGAGGACTGTAAAATAGGAGAGTTTCCCTCTCTAGGCATAGTGTCTTACAGCAGAGCTGTTACGTCCACAACATTTGTCAGCATGTCTGAGAGCAAATATACATGGAAATTGTTAGGCCTTGCAGCTTCCCTTTTAGAAGACTTGGGATCTTTCTTTTTCACATCCAAAGAAAAATTTCATTCCACAATGCATGCATGTGTGTTTCAAATCATTTCACTAAATACTTAAACTTGGAGAATCTGGAGGAAGTATTCAAAGTCCTTCATCTCCTCTTTGCCTTTTTTAGAAGAAGAATGTTAAATATTAAGGCTCCCATGTTGTACCTTATCTTTTTGTCATGAATATAGTGTGAATTATTAAATGGAACTCTGACTCTTTTCTTGTAAAGTCATTGGAGGACCTTATTTGGCTTGGAGGAATTTGAATTTCTTTCCAAATGTCTGTATTATTCAAATGTAATGAAATTCGTGCAAATCTTATTCTCAAGTGTAAATCTGGACCTCAGCATGAACAACAGAAACCCGAAAGTGAGCAGAACATTCCACTATTATCTGCGTTATCTTTGGTAAGCCTATTTATTTCCTATTTCACTGAAGAACTGAGTTGTAAAAACATGTCTTCCATAAATGCACACATCATAAAAATATTAAGAAGACTCTGTCTATTTTTATTATGTCTACTCAGCTGGGATGGCCTTCTTCTATACATGTACAAATCTCTCCTATTCTTGGGGTCCAACTCTGAGGGGATGTCCCTCGTCCCCTGAATGCACCCAAACATCTGTCTCTCTACTGAATCTGTAGGGTTACAGTTGTTAAATCTGTCTTTAAGATTTATCTTGATTCTCCCGTCCATATCACAACATGGGACTCTTCCCATCCTGTGGTCACTGAAGTGGTGGCTACACAGAGAGTGGCTACATAATAAGGAAGTGAGTACCATGGCCAGACAGAACTCAGATAGGTTTCCTTTGCCTTCTCTCTGCTCCCTTCCACCAGACATTGAGGGCCTGGAACCTGACCATCAGCCCAAGATTCTGCCTGTGACCTCATTATGTGGTAATGACATCACAGGCTTCCTGGTTTCCATGACAGGGCATCTACTCAAGTGCATGAAAATCTACCTCCTAGTTAAACACCAGTCTTTTAGATTTTGTGGAAGTAAACATCTAACCATATCATCCATCTTCAGGACTATTTGTCATCTGTCCCATGGGAGCACAGTGCATCCATAAGCCTGAAGCAACATCTCTACAATAGATTTTGATCTGTGCACATCAGTTGCTGTGGCAAGTTCCTTTTGAGGTTTTCCCCATTGCTCCAAATTCTATGGTGTGACTAAGACCACAATACTTTATTGGGCTTTCAAGGACCTAGAAGTTTCCTGCTCAAAGTAAAGCATAGGGACATTTATCTCTGGGGAAATGTTTAAAAAATGCTAAACCTTTATCAATTTGTTATCTTCTTTGGACTACAAGATGTTTTTTTAATACCTGGGTGCAGTGCAGGCATCTTTAGTCCCAGTAATGTACAAGGCTGAGGTAGGAGACTCTTTCAGCTCAGAAGTTAGCATCTAGACTGAGAAACATAAGAAAACCACATCTTTAAAAAATATGTTTTTCCAGAACATTTCTTCAAAAGACTAAAAAAACCAAATGGTGCTCAATCATCAGGAGACAGGAAGAGCAGTTTTAGAAATAGCTGCTGAAAACTGTTCACAATCTTCACCTACAATCAAGGGATTCTCATTATTCTGCCATAAATAGATGCACACAGATGCGTCCCACATATCTCAGTCTGAGAAGCAGAAGATGATGGCAGAGGTGCTGTCATACAGCTGGGAATGAAAAGACCTTAAAGATAAAATCCTACTGAGATTTGACTTCTGAGAAAAAAGCATGCCAGGATTGTTTTTCTGTGAGAAGGACCATGAAGCCTAATGATAGTAGCCAGGGACTAAGGATGTTTCATATTCAAACATCTTTTCTATTCTCTGAGTGAATAGGGAAGTGATGTTTTGATCTCACTCTAGTGTAGTTTCTACAAACCCCAAGTGAATTTAGAGCAAATATCCCTTCCTAGTTGACGCATAGAAGTCTATCTGAGATGCCAAGTCAGTTAGTGGGCTTCAGTGGGAAAAGGACCATGAGAAGATGGGATCCTAGCAGCACAATGTACAAAGCAGAAGCTTCTGATCCACTCTGGGTTTTTTCTGGCAGCAATGCCACCCTGACTCCTCATATACCAGTTTACTAACTTGTCTTCTACTGAGAACATGGTGGGCTGGCATGGAGAGAAGTGATGCCTGGATTTTGGTATCTCTATTTTAATGGTAGGTACTCAGGTATGGTCCCAGCTATGTGAGATGTTCAGGCAGGACGTTCACCTAAGCCTATGAGTTTGGGTCCACCTACGTGACAAATTGATGCCCTGTCTCTAAATGCATGATTAAGTGAATCATCAGCCAATGAGAGAGTCCCACTACAACCACTGAAGAAGAAATAGTGGAGCCAGAGAAGCATGTAAGATCTCACCAGCTAGTTAAAACAACAAATTTAAGAATGCAGAAAACTCACCTGGAACTGATGGCTCACTACTGCAATCCCAGATCTCATAAGAAAGAGAAGTATCTCAAGTTAGATGCCATTTTATTCAAACTGAGGAGATATTTTGAGGAAAATTAATGCAACATGGATTTTACTGGAATTTTTTAATGTAAACATTCACAAAATTTCTGTGTTTGCAGGGTCTCACTACACAGCTTGGACTCATAGTGATCCTTGTCCCCAGTCTCCCTACTGCTGGGATTACAGGCATGAGCCACCATGCGCAGACTCCATCAACTGCTCAGCAGGCCTAGAGGTGGAGCTGGCATGGCCTGTGGTGCCAGGGATCAAACCCTGGCTCATGCGCTTACCCAAGCAAATGCTTAGTCCACTGAGCTATCTCACTGGCCCTACACAATTTTTAATTGGTCCTTATATGCAGTAGTTTATATTGATGAATTAGGTATTTATTATCTAATTGTGAAGACAAGTTATGAATTAGGTATTATTTATTACATCAAGATAATAGGCTATTTTCCTTAATAGAAAATATTACAGGAAGGATAAACTGTCTCCTTATTCTTCTTTTGAAACCATGCATACATACACACAGAAGCACTATATGTCTTTTTAAATGGTAAGGGAAGGGAGATAGCTCAGTGGCATAAGTGCCTGCCTTACAAGCACAAAGTCCCAAGTTTGATCCCCGGTACTGAAAAAAAAAAAAAAAAAAAAAACGATCAATGATAAGGGAAATAGTTAATCAAATGCGCATAAAATATTTTATCCAAAAAAATCAGTTTTTCCTGAGTAAATTACTTGTGCTATTACCCCATTGAACATTTGTTAAACAGTCTGCAACAGAACCATTCCAAATCATTTACACGTGAAATCACTTCATGTTGACAGTGTGTCCACTTTCTATTCAAGCAAACTGAGGTGTTGTGAACAACATAGTTAGTACACACAAGCCCTGTGACATTACATGGAGCCCTGGTTTTGATCTAGTGTGCTGTTTGGAGGCTGTATTATTCTAGATAATATGGAATCTCAGTATGACCTTCCAGGTTTAGAATCCCATGCATGAGAAACTAAGTTGCAAAACTAAAACCTTGAGTGCTCTATAGCCAAGGGAAGGACACCTATGAAACAGCCGTACCTGGAGAAAGGTGCAATTATCCCCATTGTCTATTTTCAGATAGTAAGTCACTGTTATGGCTTGGGTTTAGGGGTCTCCCAAAGCCTCATGTGTCATATGTGGGCATTTCTCAGAGGCAGCTGCATCTAGAGGATATGATGTTAGGGTTGAATCATGTTTTAATGATAGGATGAAGGATACTAGGATTAGGGGTGGGTGGTTATCATTTCAGTCCTCTGATTGGCTTGGCCTCATCATAATTCCAGGAGCCTGGATACAACATAAGGAAAATGAAGGAGTGTGTCTTCTTGCATTTTTGTCTTTTGTTGCCAAGAACGTCTGCGATGCTCCTCTGCCAAGCAAC